TATGTATTTTGAAATATTTATTTACATTCTTTTGAGGTTCAGACCAAAATGCAAGAACAAGTCATTCTAATGTTTTGGAATTATAATGTGGTTTTAAGTTATATTGATGCCAGTGTAATTCCAATAAACACTTTGCCTAAGTGTGATTTTCTATATAAATGGAAATAGCTTTATCTAACTTTCACATTTAAAAAATGTTGAATAACAAATTGTTGGAATTAAGACACTAGGATTTATGTTGTGCTTTATATATGACAGCAGCATCCTCTACCCCCACTTACCAACCAGGATTAATATGTGCTCACTTCCTATTTCTCACCTGCACTTCAGTAACATCTGACCAAAAACAAAAACAAAGGTCATGACTTTGCCTGTAAGCTGATGACATTGAGCTCTACCTCACCACTAACGCTACTGAACACTCCACTGTGCTCAGTTTCTTCTAGTTTGTCTGACATTCAATTAAATGTCGAGCATGCGAACATCATTGACTTCAGTCTCAACCATAAACTCCACCCCTTATCCCTAACTCCATGTCTTACACTGCCACTGTTCAAGCTAAGGCAAAGTCACCTGGAACACTATCATCTTATCTGACCCTAAGCTGAGCTTTCAATTTCATATCTACTCCATTAAGACTATTCACTTTCAACTCTGCACCACTCATTTCGATACCTCAGTTGAAACTCTCAGCAGTGACTTTGCTCCTTCCAGAGATGGTAATTCTAATTTTTCCCTGATGGGACTCCAATCCAAAACACTCCATAAATTTGAGCTCATTTAAAACTCTGCTACTCATCCCCACTTGCACCCGATTCCATTCATCCATCACTTCTAATCTCACTGGTCAACATTGAGGCATTGCTGGAGCCAATCTTATAATTCTCATTTTTTATTAAATCCTTCTGTGACCTCACTTCTCCCCATCTCAGTAAAATTTTCCAACTGACGACTCACATCTCTGCACTCTTCCAATGTTATACTGCTTATATATCCCTGGTTTTAAATAATCCCACTATAACTTCAGATGCCAAGGCCTCATGTTCTGTAATTCTTCCCTGAAACCAGGATGCTTCTTGGCATCTCTAAAAATAGCTATGTTAAAGACTCTTTTGCCAAGCTTTTGGTCACCTGTCTCCTTACATGGCTTCTGTGAAGTTCCTTTGAACTGTTTACCATATTAATGCATGGAATAAAGGCAATGTGTCATTACCAGACCCCCTCAAAAATTGCTTTAGTCAGGATAATAATAAAATTCTAATCCTAAAATTTCAAATGTACAATTTACTTCATAACCAAAATATAGCACAAATGATTGATTGTCTGAAATCTGAAAAGTGGACTTATCCCTTTAATTTTCTCTCTCTGTATATCCCTTTCTGAAGGCATTGATTCACTTTGAGATCAGTGTCAGTGCCTCTCTGGTGTCTTATCCAAGTGACCATTTTTAAGTCAGTACTTTGAAGGCTCATGATTGCATTGGGACATTAATTTTCCAAAGCTATGGGTCCCTTTCTTACTTAATATTCCTAATTTTATTATCAGGTATCACTGGGCAGTTGTCAAAAGAGAAATAAGATGATTGGGTTCTCATTTATTTTGCCCAAAAATACCAAGGCTAATGTAATGCCTCAAAATGTCAACTCAATTAAAATCAGCTAAATCAACAAACCTAGGACTTCCCTGATGTGCCTTACCAAGATTCATTATTCATGGAATGAGGGGAAGAAAACTTTACTAACAGCACTATTATAGTACATGGCCACATACGGTCCAACACTGTAGCCAAGGGATCATTATCAAATCATATTATTTAATGTATAGCTTTCAATTTTGACACCCTGCATGTACTAATTAAACAAGTTCACTTATGATCAAACTTTTAAAAACCTAACGACTTTGCTATTAGCGAGCACTATTTATACCCTAGCTCGTAGCAATAGTTGTGCAAAGACGCACCTCTTGTGCACTCACACACCCATTGGTCATACCAAGATTATGGTTTGAACCTAGAAATTTACCTAAACTCGATTAGAAAAATGTTAATATGGTCATTCCGCTCATCACTCTGAAGCCACATTGGCTGCTTTATTCTTAAGAATTACAATATAATTAAGAACTTGTATTTCCTGTACAATGCCTTGTTTCCTCTGTAACTTGGAATGATGAGGTCAAACAAAATAGTGTTTAAGCAGGAATTGAGGCTGTAATGATGCTAATTTTCCTCAATATGCTTAGCAAGAGAGAGAAAAAAAATCAATTCATGTTCAAATAAAACAGCAGACTACTGATTACAGAAATCAGAAAACAGCTGAGAAAACATTTACTCTCATAAAATGTAAGAAGCTAACAATGCTATTAAAGGAATACACTGCTGGCTTTTAACTCCCTATTAAAATTTAATAAATACACTGTACTTTATGACAGGATTTCAGGATGAAAAAAGGCACATTGTGCAGGTTCAAGTGTTACAGTCTATATTAGGTTTACATTCTCCCACAGGAACAATAAGATAGTGTGATTACAGAACAGTTTGCCCACTTATCGAGCATTAGCCCAAATGCAAGTCAATAAAGTTGCCAGAAATGAGTCCTCAGTGGTTATTTTGTTATTACAGTCCCACACCCAACATTTCAAATATGAATTCTTTCGCCAAAAAGATTTATAGGAATATAACAAACTTTCAGAACTCTAGAATTTTTATTGGAAACACTGCAGTGCATTCCCAACAACATGTTTGCAATCCACACCAAATGCTTTTTTGAAAACAGAGCACCTATCTATTGCAGATTTGCTTATTCTATGCCAACTAATGCACTAATTTTTTTGATTCATTATTTCAATTATAGATAAAAACTTAATAGTTTGTACATCAGGTACAACAGGTCAGAATGCAGCCATACTTTAAAATGTAATGCAGTAAAGTTATTCAATAATCTCTACCTTGAGTGTCAAAATACCACATAACAAGTTTAAAAGTTCAGTCAGGCTAATGTTTTTTTAAAAAGTGACACCAGTATAGTACTTCATTCTTTCCAAAGACAGAAATAAAGGTGAAGTGTCAAGTGAGTGTATATGAAAATCCCAATTTTAATTCAAAACTGATAACGCCCACCTGATGATGCTGAAGATATATTTTCACCAACTCCACAGGTATGAGAATCATGTAAATTTGAACACCTAACCCATATTTCCTAAGTCTCCTTGTTTACCAATCACCCTGGCTCAACTCTCCATAAACAATAACAGATTCAAATTTTCACCAAAGTAACATTCTGGTGATGCCTACTGTTTCAGGCTCTTTGTCCCCATGCACTGATATGATCTTAACCCTGCTTTAGTATTTTGTTCCATGCATACACCCTTAATTGCTCAGAAACCAGATTATCCTTTATTTTCTATCTGTCTACTGTACAACCAACAGCTTCTCTTTCAATATTACATCCCAATATAGTGCGACACTCCCCAAAAATTTGAATACAATGCTCCCTCCCTCCCAGTTTACAAAAGCTGCTTAAAACGGTTGCTTCTTGACCTGGTCTTCTCCACCTTCAGTTTTTTTGTTTTGATGACTTTCTTGCTTTGTGGATTCAGATTCCTTTTTCTATGCAACCAAAACAGAAATGCAAATTGCTTTCTTGAGAACTTAGTTCTATAGTATTACGGGGCCCAATGAATTTATATAATGGGTTAATTTGATTCTTTATCCAAATAAAGACAGTGGCACAAGATGCAAGTAATCTAAATATGAAACTTCTAATGAACATCATTTCTGGAGAAATATTTACTTAGCTTGATTTTAGTCAATAAAACATGCAGCTGTGTACACAGGAATTTACCAATAGCAGATTCTCAATCATTTCAGAAAGATTGCTTCCTTATAGTCATCCTAACCTTAAAATTATTCAGACAATTTAAAGCAGTTTTGGTTAAACTGAAAAAAAATTCAAGTGTAATCTCTCGTTCATTTACCTATCCTAAAATCACAGATATAATCACATTACATGCAGCATTAAATGTGTTGCACTGCTAAAACTGAAATGGTCGACATTCCCATTGATCACATTCAGAAATGTGTGTGAAATACCCACTTATGCCTCACTTAGCTCTTGAATGGTACAGGTGATCTTCTTCAATCCTAAAATAAACTAGGATCAGGTATGCTTGCAAAGTCACTGCCATTCCACACCTTCCTTAAAACTAATTTTTGACTACTCCTGCTTAAAATCACTTGAATAGTTGCAAAATGCAAAATAAAGTACTAAATTTGTTAATCAGTTGCAACAGAGTTGGTCAAATTGGTTGTTTTATAAAATCCCATTCTAGGGCATCAGTTAAGTATTATTTTTAAGGCCAACAAGAAGCATGGACCAATGCTTGTTGTCACAGATAAGACAAAGTCAAAATACAACTAGCCACAGAAAACACTGAAGTGCCCTTGAAAACATTCAAAAGACAAGGGTTGCTGTGAAAGCAAGTTTTCTTAAAGCAAAAAAAGGAAATCTAATTCAACAAATTGCCATTTTTGGAAGCCTATAATGCAAACAATTCAAAACGTAAGTGTAGCCACAATTCCAAGCGAGAAAGAGATCCTTTATCACACCCCCCGGACAAAAAAAAACAGGTTCTATAACCATCTTCCCTGTTATTTATAATGTAGCAATTTTGGTAATCAACCATGAGCATATTTATTCTCACCCATTCCCCTGCCACCCCACCCACTGAAGGGCAAGAAAAAGGTTAATGTGCTAAAATCCAATGTTATTCAAGCCAAGAATTTCTGGCAACAATTTTCATTTATTTTGAACTACTTGAACCAGCTCCACTTGGCTGGTAGGGCTGCATTTTCCAAGTTGCAGTCAGAACTTTGCTGAATGCTCAGCTTCTGTGAAAGTGCTGTGTTTAGATTTCAGCAATGAAAGCAATGTTTAGACAGATTAGAATGCAACGGTTAGCCCTTTTATTTAAAAAGACACATTAAAGACACATAGACGCACATCAATAGAAAAAAATAACTTCCTTTTATTTACCAAAAAAAACAAAAAAATCCAAATATTGGATTGTGTAAACAAAATTCACAATCTGTTCCCTTTGTGACTAACACAGATGCTTAAGTCTTCAAAGTCTAGGTTCCATCAGCTTCTTGATTTCCTCTTTGACAGAGCCCCCAGTCACACAGTCCAGCAGACAAATCCAAGTCACAGTTTGCTGTAACAGGAAGCCTCTCAGAAGCCAAACATACGTGCGCCAGTTGAAGAAAAAGTAAATGCACAGAGCCTTCCTCGTATTCCAAGGCATGCAGCAAGCCACCCAACCTGCTGGGGAGCCTTGAGGATGTTCAAATGTTCTTTTTGCCCACAAGTACATGTGATTCTTTTTCCTTGGGGGTGAGGAGTTGGGGTGGGATTACAGAACATTCAAATGCAACAAAAAATTATATCACAAGGTGATTACATATATCACAGGGTGATTACAGACTTTTGAAAAAAACTTTAAACCTCATACATTGCAAGTTGCAGTACATTTTACTTCAGAATTTCAGCTGGCGTACTTTGTTTCAACTTGGAATAACAGCTCGCCCCTCCAATTAGTGGCAAAAGCAACTAAAAGGGTGGGTGGAGTGTGTACGCACGCGTGTGTGTGTTGAGGGCGGGGGGGGCTGAAATGAGAAAAGTACATACATTTCTAAACAATTCAATCACTTGATGACAGTATTCAGCATAAATTGAAAAGGGGATTTAAAAAAAAACAAACAGCAGCTAATCCAACTGTCAAAAAGATTTATCAACATGAAAGATTTTGGTAAAACGCACCATTTAACTATTCGTGCTTGGATGGTCACTTAAAAAGCAAGCCTCCCACGCTCCTCTGGTTGTTAAAAGGGCCACGGCAGCTGAAATTCCATTCACCATTGTAAAAAAAAAGTTGGTAATTTCAGCCTGTCGTGTTGCTACATGTGTTACAATTGTGTTGCTACATGTGCTATTAACTGGAATTCATGCAAATTCTTCTTCCCTTTGCTCCCCCTCCTCCTCACCAGTTCTAAACCAAATAAGAAAAACACATTGAGGCTTCATAGTTTGCAGCCTCTACTACCAATTTCCACTTAACAGCTTAAAATTACTCTGCCAACTTATCTCGATATTAGACGCAACACTGCTTTTTAACTCCTTCTTTACCAGTTTGATATTGTGGCAGTGATATGTTTTAGAACCAGTTTAGGTCTCCTACATTTTTTGCTTTCCCACTTCCAATCCCAGTGCTTGAAAGACAGTTATCTAATGTTGTGGTTTTACAGACTTGCTCTTTACAAGCGATGTCTACAAGCCTCCCACAGTAGTGTTGATCCTAATAAGGGATGACTCACTGCTGAAGAATGGCTTCCATGGGAACTCCAAATAATTGTGCTAAGAATGAATGTACCACATCACCAGCTGATCCTATCTCCCCAATCCTTCTTTCCATGCTTTAGTTCAAAGCCACACAGGCAGCTGCAAGGTGTATGGTGATTCCGACAGATATGTGCTACTTCTGATTTGCATCTACTGCTACCACTGAGGAAACAAATCTTTCCTTTGCATGATCAATCACTGGGGTATTACACTGAACAAACAGCATGATACATGCCATTCAATGTCGGGCAAAGAAGGTATTTCCCCACCTCCCTCAAGTAAACAATGTGCTGTATTTTCAAGCAGTTTGTCAGGTTCTGTAGAATGTATAAGTGATGTGCAACAGTAAACACAAGCTTTTGATAAACCAAAAAAGGGCACGGTTGAGTTCATTCTATTGTGCATTCTTAAGCCTACCTTTCACAATAGAATTTGCTCATTTCCAAGTAACAGACTTGATGATTTTTTCAGAATTAACTGAACATTTTTTTTAAAAAAAAAGTGTGCTTTCAAAAATCGGCACAACTCCTTCCCCACTGCAAATTGGACAAGGCTTCTCCTAGCTCCTGATTGTAAGAGCTCAGAGTGCAAAGTTCTTCTCTCCCCCTCCTGGCTCAAAACTCTTACAATTTTCAAACATGTTATAGGAATGTTTTAATGGATCCTGGTGTAATAAACTTTAGCCAAAATGCACACCAATAAAGAGCAAATTTGGAACACATTGGTAAACTAGGATTGGAGATTAAAGTATTTTAAAAAGATTAAAGGACAGGCACAATCTCCTGCTGGCAGTCACTTAAACCGTTCATCAATTTACCATAAATTTAAATTTCCATTTTTAAGCACATTTCTAAATTGGAGAACAGCGATGGAGGTGGGGGTAATGGTAATATCTGGACATACCATGTTTTGGTCGCAACGTTTAAAAAAAAACTACATGCCAATGCAAATGACGGCTGTTGTTGCCCTGGGTCAAACAACTGATAGAAGACCTTTCCCTCATTACACAACAGTCATTTTCCCTCTCGAGTATGCCTAATCAGAGAATCCAGATTGAATTGTCATTTTCCAATTCAACTTCTATTGGCTTGTGCTCAAGTATTGCCCCGACCTTTTTAGGTTAGTCAGGTGTCAAACACTTCATTTGGTTTGCAGCCCTAATCAGGGTTTTTTTTGGTGATTTTGTTCCTCAAAATTGTCAAATAAAGTAAAGTAATCACATGATCCTGACATCAAACTAGATTAAGAATAACACATTTGGATATGATTAATGAAGTATTGGGACAGCCAACCCGATCATACACAAGCCCAGTTATGAGCAACTCAGGTGTGTCCCATCCTCATTTCTAAGAGGGTTCCACTGGATTACTTATCTGAATTCATTATCTACTTCACAATCAAGTTGGTGTTATAAGCAAACTACAAGATTTCACAGTTCTCTCTCACTTCCATATATCCCCAGACATCCAACTGTGCTTTATTTAATTCATTAACTCAAATGCAGCTGTGGCACACAACATATTATACCTTTTCCGAGTGAGGAAACAAAAAAAAAGTGCCAAGGAACCTCTTATTACAAACTGGAAAATATAAAGTACTTTGTTTAAACACTTACCTAAGTGCTACACTGTCCAAGACAATACATACTTTTAAACTATCACATAAACAGCAACTTTTTTTTTAAGTACAAGTATTTTCCAAGAAAATAGGGAATTTAGTAATTCGTGCAAGAACACGTTCTTTTTGTCCCTGATAAAGAAAAATGTGGATTAAGCCACAAGATTTGAATACAGTATCTCCATTCCCATTCTTATAGATAATAGGCACTTTTGATTCATGTTCATGTAGACAAATATAAATTAGCCACATCTGTTCTTGTCCATGGGTTTTTTTTTTGTTGATATACTGTACATATATAAAACGAAAAAATATCTTTGGTCCTTGAACATTATATTAGCCAAGCGTTCTGCACACTTTCACGTCCAAAAAAAAGTGAAGTGTACGCTCTCTCAAACCAGGAGCCGCGGACAGCACAATAGCGACTTCTGTCGTCATCTGTTAATAATCCTGCATCCTGCGTCTGGAGCAAAACCATTAGAGTTTAGAAAGCACTCAAAAAAAAAGCATGCAACTGCGAAGCAGTTTCACGGTGTATCATCCCATACATGGCGTTCGCAAGCCCCCAAATGCAACCGTTCCCCAACCGCAACCGTTCCCCAACCGCAACCGTTCCCCAACCCTGTTTACAGAAGGCAACACGAGACGGACCTCTAGGTTTCAGCTTCTTTGCTGCACGAATTTATCGGAGAACAGGCAAGAAGGGAAAATCTGAGCCTCTCCTTCACCCCCAAATCAGCATTTTTTTTTGTTAAAAGGGGCTGGTCAGTCCCGACCACAAGAGTGTACGGGTGCCGAATTCCCATGTTGTCATTGTAGGATGACAGCCAGAATGGGAGGAGGCAAAGCCAAAGCAAAAACAATGTTTTGTCATTTTGTTTTTTTTTTAAAAGAAGCATTTTAAAGCTGCCATACCCACCTCCTGGCTCGGGGTTAAATCGAATTTGATTTTACTCCCCTTCCCCTCTCTCAGATAGTTTCGATCTGCCTCAAACTAGAGGAAAAAAATGCAGGCGAGCTATTTTTTTTGAATTAAAAGTTAAGCTCTGAAAAGTTGAGCAGATCAGCATTGCACTAAACAAGCCAGGGCAGGGTAGAACTTTCTACTTTGGGTGTGTGTGTGTGTGTGTGTGCGCGTGTGTATATATATAGTGTTTCTCCCATCCCGATCCAAACCACAATGAAAGGTGCTGTGCCCTCCCCCTTGCGTTCTCACCCTCTGCTCTTTTTGCCCCTTTTGTCTGTTTCTCAGCAAAGCCTTCTTGCCTTCCTTTCAGTTGCAGGGCAGCCAGGTGGAGTAGGTGTGCTGCTGGCAGGTAAACACCGGCTGCACATGGGCGATGTAGTAGTTGTTGAAGTTGGCGTCGGTCACGTAAGGAGCCGGCTGGTAGTAGCAGGTCACATTGGCCACATTGGGGATGATGTTCTGCTCAGCCAGGACCCGGAGGGCCAGCATGGTGATGAGGTTCAAGGTCTGCCTCCTCTCGTGTCCCATCAGGCAGACGGTGCTCTCGTTGACCACCCTCTGTAGGGTCATCAGGTAGTCGTACTTACGGTCCTCCAGCCCCAGGAAGTGGTTCTGCAGGTAGGACTCCAGCTTCCTCTGCTGCTCGCCGATGTCCGAGAAGTCGATGAAGAAGCGGGAGCACATGTACCGCTGCAGCGCCTTCATCTCGCTCTCGGAGGCCGCCCGGAAGCCCCGCACCAGTAGGTTGCAGTACTTGAGGAGGCCGCCACCACGAATCTCCTCGGGGTTCCTGGTGGCGATCACCTTGTGCTGCAGATGTTCCAGCGCCTCCTCGAAGTCGCCGTAGACGCTCTCGCCCAGGATGGTGGGGTGGAAGTGCTCGGACATGGGGTGCTCTGAGCACTCGTAGAAAAGCAGCAGCGAGTCCAGGTTAATCTGGAAGGCGTCCACGCTGAACTCGAACTGGCGCCGCAGCGAGTCCACGAACTTCAGTTCGACGTTCTTGCCGCTGTTGTTGGACAGCGAGATGAGGCTCCAGCGGTCCGAGTCGTTGCAAACTTTCACCATCTTCTGCACGTAGGCTTCCTTCAGGGTCAGCGGGGTAATCTTCTCCTTGTTCACGCCCTCGGGCAAAAAATCCAAGAGGCAATCCAGCACCACGTTCTTGACCGTCTGAAACTCCTTGTCCCCGCTCAGGTCAGCCCGGAAGATAAGGTCCAGGTCCTTGTAGCCCAGCCCGCTGCGTTGGTGCAGGACGTGACTGGCCGCCGAGCCGTTCAGCCTCACATCCCGCACCCGGATCCGCTTCTCTTCCAAGCGGCTCCGCACCACCTGCACGATCTGCCGGGGCTTCAGCTCCAGGGTCGGGAAGTTACCCCGCCCGTGGATCGGGATCGTCTCTGTTAGGATCCTGTCCAGCCGTTGCACTTGCTCCCAGTTCAGAACGTTAAAACTACTGCATTTCGTGTTGGCATTTTCATCAGCCATTGTAACGTGCAGGCTCACTTCTTCAGAGAATGAGAGAGAGAGGGGCGAGAGATTTATTTTATTATTTTACAGACGTGATCAATTTCTTATCCTCCTTCTCTCTGCTTTTTTTTTAATTCCCTCGACTGCGCGAGCTGCAAAGCTTTAGCTATCTGCGTATTAACTCTCCCATTAGTTTTTATATGGCTTCTCCGTGCAGTTCCGGTAGTGAGTCACGGACATGGCACGCCTATTATATTTGCATAAATTGCTGAGGCCTGGCGCTTGCTGCACCTTAAACGACTCAAAATAACGCACATTGCTTAAACTTTTCATATTTTTTCTGCTCCCCCCCGTTTATCAATGTTTTCGGGGAATGGAGTGGGTGGGGGGGCTAGGGTTTCCAAAATGAAGCTGGTGGCAAGTGAGGATTGAAAGGACCCGCTTCCTTCTCCTCTGACACCAACTCCCTCCCCAATGCCCATTTCTTCCATGAATGTATCAACTCTCAGCAGCTGGAGAGCTGGATGGGCGGGGATACGCTGATTGACAACCGTGCAGACCAATAGGTAGCTGGTGCCCGCCTTGTGGTTGCGCCGTACGGCCAATCACCGCCGGTTAGGGGCGGGGCTCCTTGCGAAGGGTAATTTACTGTCCCAGCGAAATGCAATGAAAAGTGAAGGCTGTCGTGTGGCTAATGTCAGTGAGGAATTCCATTCCAAACAGCTGCTTGTCATCCTGCACCCCCAGCCGAAAAACCGGACTTTTAAATATATCACCTATTTAACAACCTCTATCCCGCCTTCCAACGGGATTTCTCCCCTTCCAATTTTTTTTTTTTTTTTTGCAAACAGAAGTGCTGGGAATTCTGGAGTTACCTGTAACCTTCGAGCCCGGGGGAACCTGTTGGGTTAGGGCTGCTGAGGTGAAAGACTTCAAACGCGAGCGATTCATTGTGAAGGTTACAGATTACAATAATTCAATTCAACTGCACAAGACCCTGTCATTTTACACACCCTGATTTTAATGAGACCCTTGTATTTTCCTAACCAAATGGTGGCCTTTCGAAAGAAATAAGTGAATAAAACCCCGGCCAAATGTTAATTGCTGCTCCTAACATAAGTTGCATTTGACATCGCGCCTGGATATCTCGACGGTGCAAATGATATTGAGATCAGTCGGGAATAATTTCGCCTGGTTGTCTTGAAGCTCGTTTCGTATTTCCCGTGAAGTCGAAGTCCGCTGTGTGTGTGCGTCATTTTAAATACAAAACTGCTTGAAGCACTTTGGAATCCTACCAGACACTGAGACCCGGATAAAGTAGATTATCGGAAGTTATGCCTGTTCCGAAGGGACTTGACGAATTTAAATATAATATATCTTCCACATATTTTATAAACTGCAGTCTGTGTAACCGAACTGCTTTAAAAACCAAGCGAGCAAAAATGTTTAAAAAAAACGTGACTGCACGAATGTTGCAAGTTGCACAGTCTGTCCAGGGCAAGTGTCAGTGTAGCGTGCTAACTGCGTCTCCTGTTGGCAGTACTACAAATAGCGACAGTCCGCAAATTAACAGTAATCATTCCCAAACTCTTGTTGTTGCTTCAATCAAAATAGCCGTTGCAAACTGAACTAAACAGTACAAACGACGGTTAGATGAAATATTTCGATGATCCTCATTTGTGACCTTTCCGGGAGCAGAAGTAACTCTATCCCTTTTTTGTTCCCGTTACAATGGATTTTGTGTCCAACAGCCAAACTCATGCAATGTAAAACGAGTTAAGGAAAGCAGTAACGGATTTGTTAGAAACATAGTACACTAAATTTTAAGGATACATCAACTTAACACAAATCTCTGATTATTTACACCCCTCTAATTGGTAATTAAGCAGAGCTCCATACCTAGGAAGAGATTGGTAAAACTCTAATGATCAGGAAGCAGCAGTAGGTTGGAAAGATATAACACAACTTGTCACAATCAAATGCAGACCCATTAATCTTAATCCCATATAAATTAACATAATTCATTATCAGAGGTAATTTTGAGAATAATTCTATATAACAATAACCCAGTTACTATTAATCACCTTAAATACTGACCAGTCCCCTGACTAGGAATAAATGATAGGGTGGGTTGTTTTATGAAGAATTGGAGAGGCTATACTTGTATCTGTTGGAAGTTTAGAGATGATTTGTTCGAAACACACAAAATCCTGAAGGGTCTTGACAGGGTGCATGTGGAAAGGATCTTTCCTCCACTGGATGAATGTAGAACTAGGGGTTACTGTTTAAAATTACAGGCCACCCATTTAAGATAGAAATCAGAAGAATAGAATCCACATTATGGGAGGAATGTGCTAGTGCTGGAGAGAGTGTAGAGGAGATTTACCAGGATGTTGTGGGCTAGAGAATTTCAGTTATGAAAATATATTGGATAGACTAGGGTTGTTTTCTGGAGATTAGAAGAGATTAGAGGATACATGATTGAAATGTATAGAGTTATAAGGGGCATGGATAAGGTAGGCAGAAAGAAACATTTCCCCTTGGTGGAGGAATCAGTGACCAGGGGACATTAAGTCATAGAGTCATACAGCACAGAAACAGACCCATCATTTCAATTCATCTGCTCCAATCAGACATTCCAATCTGACTTAGTCCCGTTTGCCAGCATTTGACCATATCCCTCTAAACTCTTTCTATTCATATACCCATGCAGATGTATGTTAAATGTTGTAATTGTGCCCCCCTCCACCACTTCCTCTGGCAGATCGTTCCATGCAAAACCATCCTCTGCATGAAGAAGTTGCCCCTCAGGTCTTTTTTAAATCTTTCCCTTCTCATCATAAACCCTCATCTCGTTTTGGACTCTGCAATGCTGGGGAAAAGACCTTGGCTATTCACCTTATCCAACCCCCTCATGATTCTGTAAGCCTCTATTAGGTCACCCCTCAGTCTCCAATGCTCCAGGCAAAAAAGTCCCAGTCTATTCAGCCTCTGCCTATAGCTCAAACCTCCAAACCCAGCAACATCCTTGTAAATCTTTTTGCAACCTCTCAAGTTTAACAATACCCTTCCTTTAGAAGGGTGACCAGAATTGTACGCAGTATTCCAAATGTGGCCTCAGCAATGTCCTGTACAGCCACAGCATGATATCCCAACTCCTATACTCAATATTCTGATCAATGAAGGCCAGCATGCCAAATATCATCTTCACAACCCTGCCTATCTGTGACTCCACTTTCAAGGAACTATGCACCTGCACCCCTAGGTCTCTGTTCGGCAACACTCCCCAGGGCCCAACCATTAACTGCATAAGTTCTGCCTTGGTTTGCCTTACCAAAATGCAACACCTCACATTTATCTAAAATAAACTCCATCTGTCATTCCTCAGTCCATTGGCCCAACTGATCAATGTCCCACTGTACTCTGAGATAATCTTCTTCAATGTCCACTACACCACCTATTAAAATGGCAGAATGTTCAGACGGGATGTGAGAAAAAAACATTTCCATCCATAGGGTGGTGGGAATCTAGAACTCACTGTCTGAAAGTGTGGTGGAGGCAAAACCCCTAATAATAATTAAGAAGTAGTTAGATATCCAACCATAATTCCAAGGCTTACAAGGCTATGAGCCAAGTGCTGGAAAATGGGCCTGGAATAGATAGGTGCTTAGTTAGACACTAGAACAAAGGACCTTTTTCTATGCTGTAGATCTGTATGATAGAGCTTTTCTAGTCTTTTAAATTCTCTTCTGGAAAAGGTGGTGGAGGTAGAATCTTGAATATTTTCAAGGTAGGTAGGTTCTTGATAAGAAGGGATTGGGGCTTGGGAGGAATGTGGAGGTCAGGTTAAAAATTAGATTACCCATGATTTTATTGATTGGCAGAATGGGCTCAAAGGGGTTAGTGGCCTCCTCCTACTCCCATGTTTGTATGACTTACTTATGGAAATAAGAAATGGAAATGTGTAAAACCCAATTATATGGCTGAGGCACTTCTGTTTATATAAAATTGGAAATGAGCAATTGTTGGTTGAATTCAAATGTGTGGGCACGTAGGAGCAAGTTCTGAACAAGGTGTAAGCTTATAATCCTTAGCAGAGTTAGAGTAGGAGCAAATGTTTAAGTGAGGAGTGCCTTGGGAACCACTGTTGCAACCACAATTATTCTAATGTACATACATGAAGCAATTGTAGAAATTTAAAAGCAAGGTCATTTGAGAAATTCCAAAATAAATTGGTTAAGACGTGTAAATGGACTAAGCAATGGCAGAAGGAGAAATTGGGAATTGCATGCAAATTGCAATCTGACATCAGAAAAGAGAGAGAAAAAAGTCAGTGCTGTCTGAATAGTTTTGGAACAATGGCAAAATAAACTGAAGAAGCCTTCCAAGACATTGTAAACTGGCAAATGTACATTTTCAAAAAGGGTCGCAATTAACAACAAATATGATGTGGAACAAGACATAAAAGCAGATGAGATGGCATATTGTATTGTAGCAGCAGTGTCCCTATCTCTTGGCCAGCCAGAAAATCTGAGTTCAAGTCCCATTTTAGGATGGAGTCATAGAGACATACAGCATAGACACAGACCCTTATGTCCAACTTGTCCATGCTGATCAAGTTTCCCAAACTAAACTAGTCTCATTTGCTTGTGTTTGGCCCATATCCCTCCAAACCTTTTCTATTCATGTCCATGTAAAAATGTCTTTTAAATGTTGTAACTGTACCTGCATCTACCGCTTCCTTTGGCTGTTCATTCCACATCCAAACCACCCTCCGTGTGAAAAAGTTACTCCTCAGGTCCCTTTTAAATCTTTCTCCTCTCATCTTAAAAAATATGTCCTCTAGTTTTGGACTTCCCTACTCTAGGGAGAAAAGACCTTTGCTATCCACTTTATCTATGCCCCTCATGATTTTATAAACCTCTATGATGTCACCTTCAACCTCTTGTGCTCCAGTGAAAAAAGGCCCCAGCCTAACCAGCCTCTCCTTATAATTCAAACTCTCCAGTCCCACTAACATCCTTGTAAATGTTTCTGCACCCTCTCCAATTTAATAATATCCTTCCTATAGCAGGGCAACCAGAACTGTACACATTTACTCCAAAAGGACCTCACCAATGTCCTGTATAACCTCAACATGATGCCCCAACTCCTATACTCAATGGTCCGAGCAATGAAGGCAAATATGCCAAATGCTTTCTTTACCGCCCTCTCTTATCTGTGATGCAACTTTCAAAGAACTATGTACCTGAACCCCTAGGTCTCTAATTGACAATGCTCCCAAGGATACAACCATTAATTGTATAAGTCCTGCCCTTGTTTGTCTTACCAAAATGCAACACCTCTCATTTATCCAAATGAAAATTCACCTGCCACTCATCGGCTCATTGGCCCAATTGATCAAGATCCCTTTGTAATCTTAAGTGACCTTCTGCACTGAAACTCTATACCACTGATTTTGGTGTCATCTACAAACTACTACGCATGCTTCCTAAATTTGCATCCATATTGTTTATATAAATTATGTGATGGTCATGGAGGTCTGTCCAAACAGATTGTATTTTTTATTTGAAAAAGCAGAGGAGATAGCAATTAGATAAGAAAGTACCTAAATAAAACAGTTCAAACTGATTGCAGACAAGAAGCCTTTCAAGTACTGGTGGATGATGCTTTGCGATAGATGCCACACTTGTCTTACATGAAAAGAAACTGAAGAATGGACTTTTTGGCCTAAAAAGGAAATATACGTGCTGATTTTACAGATAGTGCTATTAGGGTTTTAATGAAAGTGCTATTAGGGTTTTAATGAAATAACTTGAATTTACACAGTCTTTTCTGTCTCAAAGTGCTTCACAAGTATTTGAAAGTATAGTCACTTCTCTGAAATAGAAAACTAGTTTAGCAAGCAGCAAAATAACACACAAAGCAATCCAATAAATTATGAGACTGCTATTTTGGCCATTTTGAGGAATTAGTATCGGCTGGGCCCCAGGAGACCTCTCCTGCTGTTTGAATAATCTTATGAATTATTTTCCATTTATTTAAGAGGCAAGATGTGGCTACATTTTAAGGGCAGCACCTACAACAATCAACTGAATTAGTATCTTGGCTTAGGTTGAGCTAATGTTTCAAACAACAATCTTCTGACTAAGTGGCAAGAATGCTAATGTTAAGTCAAGGCTGCCATTTAAAGAAGGTTAACCTGGAATATTGATGTAATTTAAATTACTGGAGTAGTACATAAACAGTAAATCACTAAACACAATTAAGACTGATGCCAGGAAGTGGGAAGAAATTAGTTTCAGATAGAAAAACCAGAAATCCTAGAATCATGTAATGAGCAATGCAATGCTACATTAGCAATTCTATTTTATAATATCCATCTTTAAATGCTTATATGCATTATTCCAGCACAATATAAATCGAGCAAAATGTTTATTTCCAAAGTTGCAATCAGAATTTTTTGCCACCAGAAAACATAAAATCTTGCATTCATAATATAACATGGTTTTGTTTCAAAACGTTTCCAATTATATAAGGTGATATGAAATGTTCTGAAGAGAGGGATCGTAATTGTACTCAATTCAGCCCAGAGTGGGGTTCATGTGATCTGTTATCAAAATCTGTGTAAAGTGCCACTTATTAGATCTTGGCATCAGAAGGGCAGGAGGATCCCTGGATACAGATTCACAGAAGGGGAGAAATGAAACAGATGTTGCAGTAAAAGAAAACAAAGGAAAATAACATTTCTTTCAGTTGACCACTAAGAAGAATGCTGGTGAGAACTGATTCACTGTTTGAAAGAGACAGGACTTGTGGAGATTTGAGGAACGAGAA